CAATTTGAGTTACATGAATAGCGTAACTCAAGTCGATGTAGCTTAGATCTACTTACTGCAGGGTCCACACTACATGATGTTGACGGGAGAGCATCTCTTCTTGATCCAGTGGAGTACAAGAGGTGACGGGAGAGCGATCTGCGGTCGATTTAGCGGGTCTTCACTAGACCCGCTAAATCGACCACAGATGCATCGATTGCCATGCAGCAATAGCCAAGTAAGTATAGACAAGCCCTGAGTTTCAGTCACGCAGAGCTCAACAGGACTGAAGTCTAAGGATGCCAGATGATCCAAACTAAATTATCTTGATTGCTTGATTGAAAGCAATCAAAATATACAAACACAGAGAACACCCTCCAGTAAACACATACGAATTTATAAATGTATATAATAAAGCATATTTGTACATACAATTATATAGATTTACATGTTTCATATATCTATATAGATATAGATATATACACACACACACACACACACACACACACAGCATACCCTTTTTTAAAATATATAAAATGTGTCCATTCCCAAGGTACCTGGGATGGATGTACTAATTGCTCTATGACAAAACGTTTTAAAATTACAAGAGTTGAAGAAAATCAAAACAAAACTAAAAAGACTCCACCTATATTTCTACCCATTTACACCAACTTCCCAACCCTCAGACAGCAGCATGTTCAAACGGTGGGCCATGTCCCATGCCCTTAAGGTCTAACATGGGCTCTGTCACACCTACAAGAGAAGTGAGTTCCCCAGAACTGTTGACTCATGCAGTTAAATTGGCCTCAATCAAGGAAAGAGGCAGTTAAGACCGAAACCATTCAGAGGCCTGTAGATCAAAGTAAACACCTTGAACTACATACAGAAGTAAAAAAAAAAAATCTAGTACAATTTAACCAGTATAATGTTCCCTGAAGCTAATATCTGCAAGCCAGCAGAAAGCTGTATTCCAAGATAGATTCAGCTTCCAAGAGACCTTTAAGAGTAGCTCTCATCCAATCCGAGCTAGCATGAATATGTCTACTTGAGCCAGGCATCCCACCCCTAGCACCAACTACAGATGCAGATTCAGATTAGGACCCTGTGGTACCCCACAAGAGAAATCCCTCTAAGGTGGACTAAGGATTACATAAGCAATCCTCTGGGACCTCCCACTGAAACATGTAATTCTATCTACTCCAGCTATCATCCACAGAGGTGTCAACAATATTTCATGGTCAAAATATATGAAAGGTAGCTGACAGATCTAGGGAAATTAGCATGGACACTTGGGACCACTGTCCATCACTAAGGAGATGCAACCTGGACTGTGGGACTGATGAGCCCTCCAAACCCACCAACCTGTGCTGCTGATGTCAAGCGACAAACCTCTGACAGGCACTGCACTTACACAGCCATCCACAGGCAGGAACACACCCAACTGAGTTACATGAATAATCTCCCAGCCACTCATGAACCATCAATGGAGAGGCTTCAGCCAATTCCCGCCCCAGCTCCCCAGTCTTGCACCCCAGAACTGTACCAACTTGCACTGATCAGAAGCCTTCCCAGTATAAGCTCATTACCTAGTTCGCCACTTCTTCAGAGGAAAATGGACATACACCAGCCTTTGTAACCTGAGCTGAGAGTCTCTTAGCACTTTACCTAAAACTGTGTGTTTTTGGTTGAAGTATAAAAGATTTATTAACTACAGAAAGGTAGATTTTAAGTGATTACAAGTAGCAGGCACAGAGATCAAAGTTGATCACCTAAGAAAAAAAATAAAAACAGAGCCTAAATTCTAACTTAAACAGACTAAGCAAGATTTGAACCAAGCAATATCTCTCCCTAACAGATGGGAACCAAGCAATATCTCTCCCTAACAGATGGTACAAGCAGGTTACATTCCTCAGTACACAGACTGGACCACTTTCGAGCCTGGGACCAAACTTTCCCAGTTCAAAAGTTTTTTTCTTGCAGACTTTCTTCCAGCTGTTAGAAAGATCATTGCTGTGACCTAGGCTAGCCCATCCCCAGGGCGTACATCCCTTCTCCAAGAAGCCTCTGAGATAGTATATTGTGCGTGGATAAGCCGTTAACGACCGTCTGGCCGGTGATGGCTACTCCTTTGTTGTAACTGAAAGGCTGGCCATGGGCATTCCCAACCTTTACAACATATTTCATTAACTCATAATAATACTTCATAATTTCACATACAATGATAGTACATACAATCTAACAGGCTATTAATGTTTAATAGCTCAACATTTTTAAAATGATACCTCACAAGACATACTTTGTATAAATCATATCAATTATACGAGAGTGGTGAACATGGGGGTTCCAGGGTGCTACTTTGATGTACAGAGTGTCACAAGATGATAAAACAGTTAGTGCTAACAGAGCATCCACTGAGTCCTGTGTGATTAAATAATGCTCGGTGAATGTGTGGGAAGACACCCAGATCACTGCTTTACAAATGTCCGTGATTGGTACATTGGTCAGGAAAGCTACTGAGGTGGAAAATGATCTCATGGAGTGCGTTCTAGTCCCTGTCGGTGTTTGCAAATCATGCTGATGATAGCAAAGGTTAGTACAACTGGAGATCCATTTTGAAAGCTTTTGTTTAGATATGGCTGATCCTTTTGATCTTTCAGCAATAGAAATAAATGATCTTGGTATCTTTCTGAAAGGTTGGGTTCGTTCAAGATATAAGGCATAGCACCCTTCTAACATCTAGCATGTGGAACATCGCCTCCCGTTTATTTCCATGTGATTTAAGGAAGAACGATGGAAGATGAATAGGCTGATTTAGGTGGAATGAGGAAGGTATTTTAGGTAGGAACTTTGGATGTGGTCTTAATGTAACCATCTGGGAAGATTGTACAGGGAAGTACACCACGAGAGCCCCTATTTCTCCCACTCTGAGTGGATGTGATGGTCACGAAAAAGGCCGTTTTCATAGACAGAGTTATGAACAAGCAGATTGCCATAGCCTCAAATGGGAGATCATTGAGGCATCGTACCACTATGCTGAGGTTCCAAGGTTGAATGGTATCTCATACTTCAGCAGTCCTAGGTGGCAATGGGAAATGGGTAGGTACCGCATGCACATCCGGGGGTGAGATGTGTACTGCAGCAACATTGGTACGCAGCAGTGGAGACTTCGGTGCATTAGACACTAGTGTATTGGGAATCTGAATTCATTGGTATCATGGAAGTAATTTGCCTCGGTATCATGGGGCACATATGCATCAGTTCTGTTGTTGACAATGTCTTCAGTGCTGGCGCCGTAGATGTTGTCAGTGCCGATGTACCTGGTGCCACATGACTATTTGGTGCTGTTGGTACCATCTTTGAGACTCCAATATTTTTCTTACCCCTATTACCTGATGATGCCATCTTGTCCAGTCCTGCCTTCTTGGGGTCCTTGAATTTATTGGTGACAACATTACCAGAGGCCTACGAGGCTTCACAGGTATTCAGTCTCATATCTGTCAGTGCAGAAGTTACTGATCTCTCGGGGACCTCTTTCTTTTTGGTGGCTCCTTTTTAGGCGAACTAGAAGCTTGCTTTTTAGTGTCTTTTCACAAAGGACTCTGTTAGTTTCTCTTCGTAACTAGCAGGGAGGGTGGCACGGCTGATGTCGACGCCAACAGCAACTGTTGTCCAGGCAGGATTCCAGGACCAGGGTCTAAAGCTGAGCTTCCGTCGGTTTTAACTTCAGCTCATGATTTTTCTGAGTCTGTTCCTTACGTTTAAGGCAATACATACATTTTTGGGGAACCCGTGCCTCTTCCAGGCAACGAATGCAAAGGGAGTGACCATCACTGACTGGAATGGCCTCCCAGCAGTAGAGGCACCGTTTGATTTTGGAGGATCTGAGCATAACACCCTTTATAGGGATCACTTCTCTGAAGGGAAGATATGTAGAAACTACTACTCTAATCAAGGGGATAACGATAAATAACGAAAACAATTTTTTTTTGGAATGAAGAAAAAAAGAACGGTAACAACTCTAAATGACTAAAATCCTAACTGAAACACTATCACTATGAAAAATGAGAACACAGACACTCAGAAATCGCTAGAAAGGACTCTTCTAGGGACTCCATCTCAGGACAAGGGCAGTTGAAAAGGAATCGAGGCCAATTTGGCCGAACAGCACTATATAACCGCCAAATGTGGCGCGCAAAGGGGGAAGTGCATGTGCGGCACAAGCAGGCACTACTACTGATAATCTCAAATCCTAGGTACACGGACGCAGATACACCTAAAGTGGAGCACTCATAGGGACATTACTCAGAGAAGAACCACTAGTTCCCCCAATCTTATTCCCATTTTAGCACTTACACGAAGTGAACACATTCCGATGAGTAAGATTTTGGGAAGGAAATACTCATACATCCCCTCACAATACCTTCATGGCTCTCTTAGGTATTTGATACAGCATTAGCTATCTGTAAACATATGGACTGACAATGGGTCAGCAGTCTTATCCAACAGTTATCAGTAATACATGCACAACAGAGGACCCCATTCTTTCTTAAATCAAAGACTACAAATACTTTAGTAGCCACCAATGTCACATTGAACAGCACAGCATCGGAATGCTGACTCTGACCCTGTGCATCTCAGGTGAAATCTCTAATGGTGTTAAACTTTTAATTGCCTAATCAAAGGCCTAGATCTAAATTCTCAGCTGTTTTGTCTCCCATACTCACCATTATAGGCTTAATGGAAGCCAAATTCTCAAGCCACTACACAGCAGTATTACTGAATCCTTGCAGGCCTTTTCTGTATTATAAAAGTGAAGTGGTATATTGATTTTTTTTTTTTTTATCTATTGAGTTCAATTAGTGCAAACCTCTACTGAAGATACACTTAAACCTGATTTTTGTTTCACGTTTGACAGTTTTTAAATAGAAAAAAGGCCTGTTTCGTAAGGCCTAATCAGTTTTTAGAAACGGTGTGCATTTATCCTTATTTTAGCCTCGACTCAGTAACAAATAATCTCTTACCTCTCCCTTCCTCCAATCTATGCCTCCTGTTTACACGCTGCCGCTTTTCCTCTTGCCGTAGCTGAAGGTGCTCTTCAATATTAACCCCAGGAACAGGGACAGCTACATCAATTAATAAATAAAAAATACAAAATCTATGTTTAAATAATATGATGAATGTGACAAAACCTAGTAACAGCCAAGAAAATCAAAGCTAAGGCTCGATATTTTGTCCTTTATAAGCTCTGCTGAGATGTTTAGGAATAAGGAAAGGCGACAACATAATGATTTCAGAATGGACTGTCAGCCTCAATTTTGGATTTCTTTACTTTCATAAGTCTGTCACAATTTCAACATTTAATAGCTTTCTGTGCTTCCTATCTATTAGCTAAACACAGTTTTAGAGTTTGTTAAAAGAGTTTGGTTGTTTTTACTTTTGCCCCAAATTTCCAGTAAACATAACACAAGAGAACTTATATGTTGACAAATTCTATTTAAAACAATAGTAATCTATTTAAACTTTTCTTTAGGTACCGCACATATGACAGCAACATGAAAATGAATACCACAACATTTCAATTAGCAGCTCATTTTAGAAATAGTTGCATGATTTTTATTAATTCAATTAATATAGATCAAGATTGTATATCAACCTTGTTATTTTTGGCATGTTGATCAATTTAATACCAAATTATAACACCTTGAAAATAGGGGTTTGTAATGGAAAGATTAATACAAACTTAATTGCAGGCACAGGGTGACAGAGAGACACTAATATTAAAATACCCATAAGCTTATTTAAAATATGATTCTACTCTGAAAAGTGACCGTGAAAATGGCATCTTTTATCCAACAGATCTCCTTGATTGTATTCAGCGTTACATCTCCTTATTTAAGTGACAGAAAGAGGAAGTTACTTACCTGTAACTGGAAGTTCTTTGAGACGTGTGTTCCCAATTTGGATTCCAAATGTGGGTGTGTATGCATGTCACACACCAGAGCCAGAAGGTTTTCCTTGAAGTGTCCGTTAACCTGCACATGCATCGTACATCCCCATGTGCTCACAGTCAAAGGTATAATAGGCTGTGCGGGTTGACGCCTCTCCAGTATCCCTCTTACCGCTGAATAGTCCAATCCGCAGCAGAGGGTATGGAGGGCAGGTATTAGAATCCAAATAGGAACCACACATCTCAAAAACAGTTACGTTTTCTGTAATAGGTGTTCTTTGAGATGTGTTAGTCATGTCCATTCCATATTAGGTGTGTACACTCGCCACATGCACTGGTGCCGGAAGTTTTTCCCTCAGCAGTATCCGTAGGGGACCAGCTCTGGTGCCCTCTAGAGTGGCGCCTGCATGGCGTGGAATAAGGGGCACTGCTGGCTCCCCACAACCTCAGTTCCTTCTTGCCAGAAACTCCGAAAGTGGGGAAGGAGAGCGGGTCATGGAATAGACATGAGCAACACATCTCAAAGAACACCAGTTACAGAAAAGGTAACTTGCCTGTCTTCAAGTGCTTGCTCATGTCCATTCCATAATAGGTGACTCCCAAGCAATACCCCTGGAGGTGGGTAGGAGTTCACAGACGTGCACATTGCAACACATCTCTGACGAACCCAGCGTCGTCCCTGGCCTGCTGAGTGATGGCATAATGAGCGGTGAACGTGTGAACAGAGGACCATGTTGTGGCTCTACAGACGTGTGCCCGGAAGGCAACCGAAGACGCCCGCACTCTCGTCGAGTGGACCCATGACAATCGGCAGTGGCCGAACCCCGCCAGGTCGTAACAGGTCCTTATGCATGAGGTAATCCAATTGGAAATCCTCTGCGAGGACACTAGGTGACCCTTCATCCTATCTGCTGTAGCGATGAAGAGTTGAATCGATTTATGGAAAGGCTTGGTACATTCTAAGTAGAAAGCCAAGGCCCTGCAGACGTCCCGGGCGTGAAGATGCCTCTCTTCACTGGTCTTGTGCGGTTTGGGACAGAACACCATGAGGAAGATGTTCTGGTTCATATGGAAGGTGGAGACCACCTTTGGCAGGAAGACGACCTTCCATGACAGGTAGGAAAAGGAGCAGGAACTCGTGGCTCAAAGGGTGGGCCAGTGAGCCTAGAAAGGACCAAGTTAAGATCCTACTGTGGGACAGGAGCCTGTACCTGTGGGAAGTGTCTCGCCTGTCATGATCCCCTCAGGAATCTGACTGTCATGTCATGGGAAAACACTGTCTGTCCTTGGATCGGCGGGTGAAAAGCAGAGATGGTCGTGTGATGCACTCTAATGGAAGACTGTGCTAGGCCCCAGTTCCTCAAATGAAGCAGGTAGTCCAGGACAGCCTGTATGGAGGAACGCGAGGGAGAGATGCCCCCTTCAGACGCCCAGCAGGAAAGCCTCATCCTCTTGGCCAGGTAAGTCAGTCTAGATAATGGCTTCCTACTTTCCAGGAGGACCTGTTGGATTCCTTTCGAACAGGTCCACTTCTCCTGGTTCAGCCACTCAGCATCCACGTCGAGAGGTGGAGGGACCCGAGGTTGGGGTGTAGGAGTTGACCGTGGTCCTGTGACAGTAGGTCCGGTCGGTTGGGCAGGGGCCAGGGAGGGGCCACTGACAGGCTCATGAGCGTGCTGAACCAGTGCTGGTGAGACCATGTCGGGGTGACCAGGACTACCTGCGCCTTGTCTCTCGATCTTTGCCAGGGCCCTGCTGTTGAGCAGAATTGGAGGGAACGCGTACATCAGGCTTCGTGACGACGACAGGAGGAAGGCATTGCTCAGACCTTGCAGAGAAAAAAAACTGGTGGCATTTTCTGTTCTGTCTGGTAGCGAACAGGTCCACTCGGGGAGTTCTCCACCTTTGAAAGATCATGCAGGCTACCTCTGGATGGAACGACCACTCACGGTGGGAGGAAAAGTCCCTGCTGAGCTGGTCCACCAGCATATTCCTGATGCTGGAAAGGGGACAAGCTTCCAGGTGGATCTTGTGGCTCATGCAGAAGTCCCATAGATGGAGCTTCTCCTGACAGAGAGCCAACGAGCATGCTCCCCCTTGCTTGTTGATGTAGAACATCGAGGCTGTGTTGTCCGTCAGGACTCATACCACCTTTTCCAACAGGTGGGACAATAAGACTCCGCATGCTAGCCGGACTGCTCGGAGCTCTTTGATGTTTATGTACAACCGCGCTTCATCTGGGGACCACATCCCCTGAGTCTGTAGGACGCCGATATGCACCTCCCACCCAAGGTCTGAGGTGTCCAGCACCAACTCGATGGAGTGGGGAGGGTTGTCGAACAGAACCCCTTCCAGGGCTGTTCTGTGGTGGGCCCACCACCACAGCAAGGTAAGTATCACCTGGGGAATGGTAATGATCTTTTCCAGGGGGGTCTCGGGACTGGGAATAGACTGTCACCAGCCATTGTTGCAGGGGTCGCATCCTGAGCCTGGCATGACGGACTACGTAAGCACATGCTGCCATGTGGCCCAGCAGGTGCAGACAGACCCTGGCTACAGTCAGAGGGAACGCACAGACTTTTGCGATGAGTTTCGTCAACATGTGGTATTATTGGTGGTCATCTGGTGGAAATAGCAAGGAAAGAATAAATGCCTCATCTGGAGATGAAGATGCAGCAGTGGAGACTGGCAGTACTGGTTCCATATCTTCTTCCTCCTTGTACACCGATGGTGCTGCAGGACGAATGGGAGATGGTTGATATGAGACGACCAATGGTGCTTGGCATCCCTGGTAGGGATTCGAGTGTGGCCACTGCCGGGCTTCATGGGTAGCAATATCAGGCCTCTGAAGCACAGTCAAACTGGTGGATAGTGCAATCTGGGACGTGATTCCAGATTCTGATATGGAACGGAAGAAAATGAGGACTCTGTCTCTGAGAAGCCCTCAGACTTGGAAGATGGGGGAGTAGGGAGTGGGGGGGGGGAGAAGACCGCAAGTACTGGAGGGCTGCATGTGACAACAGAGCGGGTCTTCCTGGTAGCAGGAGCAAAGGTACATCCAAGGGGAGGATGGTGGTGAGTGAAGGTCCAGAGAGCAGCAGAAAACGCAGATGGGGAGAAGCAGTTCCTCCATGGACAGAAGCGGTTCCAGTCATCTGGGAGTGCGAGGCAAAGCTCCAGAGAGGCCAGAAGGTCCACATGGAATCAACACAGGGCAGTTTGAATGTCTGTGCAGATGGATCCTTGTGCAACCACTCACCTGACCTGGTGGAGCTCATGGAAGAAACTAGGAGCTTATGAGCAGACCCAAACCAGGATCTGCTCTTATGGCCATGGCCATGTTTTTTTCCCTTCATAGTAGGGCTTGTCTGTTGCCTTCGGTACCAACGGATCCAGTGCCTGGGAGGTGCTGGGAAGGGCACTCAATGCCAGTGACGGATGCTTCACCGTCAGTTCCGCTTGTCCCGGATCTGAAGGCACCTGGGGGAGCATAGCTTCCTCCATTAGGAACTTCCAGAGGTGAAGTTCTTGAGCCTCCCATGTTCAGGGCATTAAGGATTTGCAGATAGCACAGCTGACCGCAATGTGGGCCCCGCCGAGGCAATATAGACAATGCTGGTGCTCATCACTCATGGAGAATGAGTGCGGGCAAGAGGCACAGTTCTTAAAGCCGGGAATGAACGGCACAGTCCCCAGCCGGAAGCGAGTCCCCAAACAGGGGAACAACTACATTAACTATATCTAAGGATAAAACAAGTATAGAACACAAACAGCTTAGCTAGAACTATGTACAAGAATGGATGAAAAGGCCACTCTCTTAGCTAGGCTAAGAGTGCAAAGGAACGGGGGTTCAGACTCAGGGAAGTGGAGAGGCATCGACCCACGCAGCCTATTATACCCTCAGCTGTGAGCATGAGGGGACGTACGACTCAGGTGCAGGTCAATGGACACTGCTAGGAAAACCTTCCGGATCTGGCATATGGCGCACATGCGTGCCCATGTTTGGAATCCATATAGGGGGACCATCACTCGAAGAAGCACAAGTGTTTACTGATTTTACTCCTATTAGGATCACAAAGACAACAAAGCTAAGTGGTGGAATCTAGTCTTCCTTGTGTATCAACAGAAGTGTTCACAGTATTCCAACAGCTTACTTATGCTCTGCAAAACCATCTTCAGAACTATGTACAATAAGAAAACAATCCATCTTCAGATTCAGACCACATGTAAATTTGCAGGACTGCCAGTTAGAAAAATATATTCTTAATTGTAAACTAAGCATAATCAATTAAAAAAACCCACAAAAGTGGAACTCTACAGTGCCATTTCCACAGATTCAAATTTCAGAATAAAGGATCCTAATGTGTCCCATCTTTTTAAAACTGACAGTAGTCCAGACTACAAATTATGCTCTTCAGCAAGTAACAGGACAATCTCTCCTTTAGAAACAGGCAGCAAATAATTACAATGCCACAACACTAGCACCCTCCAATGCTATTAGGGCATCACAAGTACACCTGATAACAGGTATCATGGGGCCTGCCTTTCCTGCTCAACTAATGCAGTAAAAGAAACACCTGCAACATTTCATATCTTTAAAAATCCCACTGTTATGCTATATATTTTAACACTGATTTCTGATTCTGAAGAAGCTAGTACTTGGTGAGATGAACACTGAGGAAAGAAAAGTAAAATTTCAAATATCTGAAGATGTTAGTTGTCACACATTAGAACCCCAAAAATTGGTCCTGGACTAAATCACCCAATTAACAACTCCATGTTGTATTAAGTTCTGAACGGGTACCTGAATAAACCACAGTAAGAGGAAGAAGTTGAGACTAGGAAAATCAGCCATGCGATGACCTCTTCCAACTAGAGGTTTACTCCCTATTGCAGAGGGGAGCTGTGGAACTAATCCCAGATCCCTTTCACGGAACAGGGTTCTACTCAAGCTACTTTCTAGTCCCCTCAAAAAATGGAGGATGGGGGCTGATATTGGATCTTCAACGCCTCAACTGTTCCATTTCCAAACGAAGATTCCGTATGGTCACACTTGCAATAATCATTCCCTCCCTTGGAAAATCAGGGAATACAATATTAAAAATATTTTCTATCATAATAAATCTAATCAGAAGTCATGGCCCCAAACTTTGTATTTAGATACGTCATTTTGTTTTTTTTTTAATTTATTCTTTCTGGCTTCAGCTCTTAAATATTAGTCTGGTTATACATAATCTCACTTTTCTTCCACAGAGTTAATTATTTTTACATTTCTGCCATCTCCCACTTTCTCCAAAAATTTTGGGAGGAAAAGTTATTCAGTGCTGAGGGGACTGAACACCCCATGTTTTTATGTAAAATCCTGTTGTGCCAATTTCTGACAACAGACCTCTGGCAATCCTCCCTTCTAGAGCTAATATGGAGGGAGAGGAACAGCCTCATGACACCAGCAGTGTCATCACAAGGGGAAGCGAAAGTTCAATGTATGTATCAAAACAGTGCCATCATGCAAGTTGAGAGATGAAGTTCAAATGTTAGGTCCAGTCACAACCTTTACTACAATACCAAGGAAAAAAGTCTAAGCAATAATTTACTCGTGAAAAAAAATTACTGCACTAAAACTGTCATGAAAGACCATAGCTCAGCAGTGTTACTGCAAAGGAAGAAAGAAATTCCATGAAATTAAGATACAAAATTTTACAACCAGAAAATCAAAATGCATACAAAAGTGATAGGATTGTATCCATTTCTTGACTAACTGCTATTTTTCCCTAGTTACAGTAGTATGTATGGGGACTGATTACAAACAAAGCCCACAATTAATTTTAAAAGGGAAGCTGGGGGTATTGTGTGACTAAAAGTTATACCACTGGCAAATGTCTGTTTATCAGTTTCATCCCACTTACCTAGTAGGAGATCTAAAGGTATCATCTCTTTCACAGCATCAAGAATTCCTCTTTGCCTTGCCTCTTGACCATCCAGCTCTCTAGCACAGGCCTTGCAACAACCACATGCAGCACAGCCAGACTCACCAGAGCCACAGCCACATATTCTACAGAACACAAAGAGGTTTTATCCATAATCTACCAAGACAAGCAATATTACATAAAAATGTATTTGAAATACAGATGTAATAGAACAGATTGGACCAACATCTGTCAGGGATGATCTAGGTTTATTTGGTTCTGCCTCTGTGCAAAGGGCTGGACTTGATGACCGCTCGAGGGCCTTTCCAGCCCCACATTTCTATGGTTTTACAATAACCATTCATGTTCCATTTTATTAAAAAAAATTATATATATATATATATCTCTCCCCAAAGCCAGGAATCCCGTACCTTAGATAGCAGCATTCAATGTCATTAGGCATACCAAATTACAGTCTGTTTATACTCTTTATACACTTCCCTCCTTTCTGCTTTTGTGAGAATTATTTTGAACATAAGAAATATTTTAAGTCACCTGTTACCTTTACTAAAATGTTTATAAAAACATCACAAAAGTTAAATATATTCTTGGTTTTAAAAATGGATAAGCAATATTTTCTTTAGATACAGTGCTATTTAAGACTGAAGTGTGAAGTGAAGTAAAGTAAACCTCTATTTTGATTACATTCTGTAATCTACAATACTGTATGAAAGATATTTGTATGAATATATTTACTTACCCTCCAGGTACCCTGTCTGGACGCCCACTACTAACACAGCTGGCTCCATAGCCTGTACAGTCCCCACACACAGTGCATACCATGCACTGCTCCAGCTTCCATTTATGCATGCCTGGAGGACACATCATGGACTTCTCGTCTTTTTCATCCAGTTCTTCTTCTAAGTCTTCATCCATTGCTGTTGCCATGTTCTCAACTACAAAACCTATTGAAGAAGATATTGAAACACTTCAAGAATTCACATCAGTTATGCTAAGATACGTAGTGCTATAAGGAAAATGTTAAAACAATGGCAGGTCTGATGAAAATTGGACCTTTCGATACATACAATTATATCAATTGTTACATATATATCAGAGTTACAAAGTTAGGGACAGACTTTCAAAGGCTCAAATTTTACATATATAATTTTGGCAAGATGAGTGTATAAGTCAGGTACATGCAAAATTCCTTGGAAAATTTGACCTAGAACTGTTTTAACGTTTCCCTAATAGCACAGCCATATGTAGAAAAACATGGAAAACAAGCACAAATCTAGTCTACCGTTTTGTTCTTATTTCTAATTTATTCTTTCTTGTTTTCTTTTTGTACTCATTTGTATTTTGATATATTTGTAATATACTGTGTAGTATATATTATATTTTACTTAAATATATATATCACCAAATATGTTAAAAGAACGTCAAGGTTTCAAAGTCACAGTCAAAAGTTAAGAAATGTCAGAATTAAAGATGCCAATGCAACCTTAATTTGGTCATTTTGTGCACATAAATTATGACACAGTCTTTAAAAACGTGAGCACATACTATTTTTTCCACAGATGTCCTGCCTCATTCAGTGAGAGGATTCCCCACCTTCTCATCCCAATCTCTCCATCTAGTTACCCCAGACTTCATCCTGTCGGACTCAGCATCCCTATCAGTCTCCTTTCCCAGCCAGTCCCACGGTTGTCCCCGTCCAACTCCGTCTTCCGTCTTCCCAGCTCCCAATACCACTCTCCCTCACCTGGCTCCTTGCCCAACCAGCTCTAACATCACAGACCCCTTCTCACGCGGTTACTTATCTGATGTGTCTTCACCCTTCCCCATGTCACAGTCTCTGCTTCTCACCTTAAGGTTCCTTTTTCCATTCTACTCCTGCATTCTGGCCCAGCACCTCACCCCTTTGCATTTCAGTCATGCACTTCCTCCTCTTCATCTATGCTGCCTGAAAGCCAGCAGCAGGAGCACTGAAAGCACAGAAGAGACGGTCTCTTCCTGCTCTCAGTTCCCGTGCCTGGAGCCACAGTACCTGGGAGCAACAATTGCAGGGAACATCCTGCTCAGCCCCAGGATGAGATGCAGCATGCCCAGTATAGATGAAATTTTTGACAAACTTAACTGCCATACTAACAAATAGAGCTCATTGGAAAATAGATTCCCCCACCCCAAACAAATCATAGCGTCCTGTGATATATTTCCTTAAAATAACCTCTTCAAATATAGGAACTACTTAAGAGCTTTGCTTCCCCAACCTCTCGATCATATGATAATGCCACTGAAACCCTATGTCTCTGCTGGCATAGAGATATTTTTTAAATTAATTATAAGAGTTGCCATGATAATCTGAAATACAATAGTGATCACTAAATATGTTAATTACAGACAGAAATGCCATACCAAAGGCACCTGATAATTGGAAGTGGCACAAAGTGAAATATATCAAAATGGTATGTTCTGAAGTGTTTATATTGAAAATGTTCAAAAATGCAAGAGTTCTGAAGAGAGAAAAGGGAAGTGGAAGAAAAATATTTTATCTTTTTCAAGGCTAAAGAAAAAGTATAGAAGGGGAAGAAGTTTAGGAATAAGAGGCTTAAGGATCAAATGGTGTTGGAAGAGAAGAAAAAAATTAAATAGTATGGCAGGAACAGCAGATAATAAAAATAGTCAAAAAGAAAGGTAAAAAGTGAAATGTGGTTGTAATACAGGGATGATACATGAAGAACTACAAACATGAGGAGAGAAATGGGGTCTATTATGAAACAGGTCATTCTATGCATTTTTTTTTCATTCTTAATATTTGTAGTAGATCACTTCTAAAAAAGTCCTCTGGGTTAACTAATCCTTTCAGCTATATTTGTAAAATGTACTGTAAAATGTAAATACCCTCTTCGTAAATGTAAGTGGAAGGAAGGAAGGAATCTAAGAACCAATAAATGCCTTGGTGCCACTGTTAAAAGAAAAGCATCTGATATATTTTATATTATGGCAATACACAGTTATCAAAAGGCAAAATGAAAACATCTAATGAATTAATTTAACAGAAGAATATTAAGAACATCTGAAAGTCAACTATGTAGCAATACTAAGAGAGAAAGACATAGACAACATTAAAGTGCTATGCCTCCTTGGCTTTTCATACTATAATATGCTCCAAATGTAAACTCTACAATAGGAATAACGAAGTTACTTACCTGTAACTGGAGGTTCTTCAAGATGTGTGTGGTCTCTATCTGTATTCCACTGAGGATTATGCGCGTACGCCCAGAGCTGGAGCTCTTGAAAGTAGAACTGTTCGACAGTCTGCGCACGTGCTCTGTGCTGCCTCATGGTTTCACCCAAGGAAATAAAGGGCGCAGCGGCCGCCAGTGTCTCCAGTTCCTTCTCTACCGCAGATTTGTTGGATCCGCAGCAGAGAGGAAGGAGGGTGGGTTCGGAATACAGATATGGACCGCGCATCTCAAAGAGCCTCCAGTTACAGCTAAATAACTTAGTTTTCTTCCTCGAGTGACAAAGAAGTGACTATTGTATTCTACTGAGGGTATGTGGGAGGATGCTGCAAGGAGACTGTGGAATGGAGGACTGTTGCTCCGAATGACGCATCTGTCGCGGAATCATACACTAGAGCATAGTATGTGGAGAAGGTGTGTACCTAACTCCACATGGCCGCCATGCATGTGTCTGCGAGGGGCACATTGTGGAGTGCAGCTGTAGTTTCTGCTTGTGCTCTCATAGAATGGGCCCAAATCCCTTCAGGTGGGGATCATCCCGATAACTGATAGCAGCATGTAATGCACCCAGAAAGCCACTTGGAGATTCTCTGGAAATGGCTTGCCCTTTGACCCTCTCCGATATGGCTACAAAAAGCCTAGAAGATTTCTGAAATGGCTTTGTCTGCTCAAGATAAAAGGCCAAGGACTGTGAACATCTTACGGGTGAAGCCTTCTTTCCCCATTAGAGGCGTGAGGCTTGGGGAAAAAGGTAGATAAAGGTATGGGTAGGAATTTGGGGTGAAGGCGTAAAGAGATCTTGTTTTTATGGAAAGTGGTGAAGGGGGGGGGGGTCAGCCATCATGGCTCCCAGTTCACCAACCCTCTGATTGATGAAATGGTGACAAGGTAAGCGACTTTCATGGAAAGGACTGCTGGCAGGCAGGAGTCCATAGGTTTGACAGGGTAGTCACCAACAAGGTGAGGACTAGGTTACAGTCACAATGGGGGTCAATAGGCTGAATGGGAGGGTATTTTCATAAAAGGCCTTTCCAGACTCATACAGTTATGGGGTGGGTAAAAACTGAATTGCCGTCCAGTGGCGGGTGAAAAGCACTAATGGTAGCTGCATGTATTTCATGGAGCTGAGGGCAAGTCCCGAGTCCTTCAGATACAGGAAATATTCCCAGATTAGTGAGATGCCCACCACTTCAGGGACAAGACCCTGTTGTGTAGCCCAGGAGTTGAACTGCATCCATTTGGCTCGACACAAGCATCTTGTGGAGTCTTTCCTGCTGCTTGAAAGGATCACTCACACTGCCAAAGAACACTCCTGAGCTAGTGGAGGTGTCCATCCAAAAAGCAAGCCATCAGTTGAAGGGTATGCGTGTTAGGGTGTCTTAGCCTGCCATTGTGTTGAGTCTCTAGCTCCGGGAATGTCCAAAGCATGAGTGGAGGTTGCTTCTACATGCAAAGGAGAATTGGCGAAGTCAGAAGGGGGCTATCAGGATGGTTGTTGCTTTCTCTGGTTTGATCTTGTGGATTACTCATGGTAGGAAGGGTAAGGGGGAGGAGGCATAGTTTGTGCAGTCCAACCAGTCGCCTGACTAGGGCGTCCCCCTGTGATTGGGCTCCAATTCCTCATCTTGAACAATACTGGGTGCATTTGGTGGTGTTGTGGGATACAAAAAGATCCCTCATGGGGGTTCCAGTCAAAGATGTCCATGACTACAGAGTCATGCAATTCCCATTCATGGACAGTTGCAAAGTTTCTGCTGAAAGCATTGACAATCACTTTCTGGGTGCCCGGTAGGTAGGCTACTATCAGAAGAATGTGGTGTTCGATGAACCATTCCTATAGGCGTATGGCTTCTGTACATAGCATTTGGATCTCATTTCCCCTTGCTTATTTATGTAGAAGAGAGTGGTGATGTTGTCTGACATGAGAAGAATGTGCCAGTCCTGGATGGCTGGTAGGAACGCCAGGCACGCTTTAAGTATTGCCCGGACTTCCAATATATTTATGTGCATCCTGGCTTCCCATGTTGTCCACGTGCTGTGTGTCATGCAGTCATCCATGTGGGATGCATCTGTTATGATTGTAACGGCGGATGAGGACAGGAGGGAGGTAATTCCCGAGCAGACTCATAGTGGGTTCATCCACCATTGAAGTGAGGAGAGAACTTCTGGTGGCATGTGGAGCAGAGCGTTCATCGGCTGGTGCATGGGGGAATTAGACCCTCTGCAGCCAGAGTTTAAGGCCGCGCAGGTGTAAGCATGTAAATAGCATGACATATGTGCAGGCCACCATGTGTCCCAAGAGAGAGAAGTAGATTTTGGCCGAAATCCAAAGGTTGGAGATCACCAAAGAAATTAGTTCCCTTATTGTCTAGAATCTTTCCTGTGGAAGGTACACTCGAGCAGAAGTCACATCTATGCGAGCTCCTATAAGCTCCAGGAATTGGAGGTTGATTTCTCAACGTTGACACTGACCTCAAGGGAGAAAAGGAGTAGAAGCAATTGGGATGCTGATTCCTGGGCCTCTTCCTTGGACCATGCTGCTATTAGTGAGTTGTCCAGATAGGGGGAAATGAGGATCCTCTGACATCTGAGATGAGCTGCCATCACTGAGAAAACTTTCGTGAATACTCGGGTGCAGTGGTAAGTCCAAACAATAGGACCCTGTATTGAAGGTGTTGCGGTACCACCTTGAACCTCAGGAACCTTTTGTGTGTCAGGTGTATATCGATATGGAAGTAAGCGTCCTGCATATCTAAAGTCACAAACCACGGTCCTTTTTCAAGGGAGGGAACGATTATTGCAAGTGTGACCACACGGAATCTTCGTTTGGAAATGGAACACTTGAGGCGTTGAAGATCCAATATCAGCCCCCATCCTCCATTTTTTGAGGGGACTAGAAAGTGGCTTGAGTAGAACCCTGTTCCGTGAAAGGGGTCTGGGATTAGTTCCACAGCTCCCCTCTGCAATAGGGAGTAAACCTCTAGTTGGAAGAGGTCATCGCATGGGTGTTCCATGCACGTGGACCGCGGAGGAGGGTAAGATGAAGGCATCACAGTAAACTCTATGACCTAGTCACCCTGGATAATATCTAGGACCCATTTGTCCATTGCTATTGCTTTCCATGATGGCAGAAAGAGTTTGAGATGGACCCTGAAGGTGGTAGACAGGATGGATATTGGTGTATGAAGTGGCTGACGTCTCTCTAAAAACACTCAAATACTGCTTATTTGACGATTGGGTGAATTGAGTAGATGACTGGCAGTCGACATAGGCAAATGTGGTCTGTGAACCTTACAGCACTTTTGAGAAGGCTCATAGGTGTGTTAATGGTATAGTTGTGAGACCCTGTAACAATGTGATTGGGGCAGGAGGTAGAATTTCCTCTTGGTGCTGGTGTATGAATACCCAGAGATCTTAGAGTGGCTCTACAGTCCTTTAGGGAGTGGAGGAATTCATCCATCTTCTGACTGAAGAGGTGCAATCTGTCAAATGGGAGGTCTATAGTTTTCTGCACCTCCCTGGGGAAGCCAAAGATGTGTAACCAGGATTCCCTCCTCATGTCAATCCCCACTGCCAAGACACAGGAAGTTATGTCTGAGGAGTCCACTGTAGCATGGACCTGGTGAGTAACTTGCCCTCCTGCAGAACTGCCTGGAACTATCCAATCTTGCGAAGGTAGATTGTCTGCGAACTCAGCCAATTGCCCATAGTTAATAAAATCATACTTTGCCATCAGGGCTAAGTAATTTGAAATATTAAATTGGAGTCCCACCAAGGAGAAGACCTTTCTGCCCATGATATCTAGTCTCTTACCCTCTCTATCGGATGGGGTGAAGCAGGGCTGTTGGTGCTTGGAATGCTCAAAAGCCACCTGGATGACCAATGAGTTCAGGGCAGGATGAGAGAACAGGAACTCTGACCCTTTGGTGAGGACAGAATACCTTTTTTCAGCCCCTTTCGGGGAAGGTGCACACGTGGCTGGGGTTGGAGGATGGCCTCACTGATTGGTACCAGCGAGGGTGGCCCTACCAAAGTGTGTAAGATGTCAAGCAGCTGGTGTTGACTGTCTTGTATTTCCTCTGATAGGATCACCAGGGCATTGGCTATTCTCCGCAGCAATTCTTGGAACTTATGACAGTCGTCTGGTGGAGAGGAGGGGATTGAAGAGGTGGCTGCATCTGGAGAAGATAAGGGATACCTCTCCAGATCCATTGGTACCACTGGAGTCGGGCTAACTGGTGCATCATACGGTGCCATGTTGGAACGCCTACCTTATGAGGGTTGTGGTGATGGAGGGAGGGAGGGAGTCCCGGATACCAATTCTGTGGGTCATGCAAGATGGGGAACTGCCACAGCGCTGTCGTAACCTTCCGGTAGTTGTGCTTCCGGAACAGGAGTGGTAGACCGTGTCAGACATCTGTATCGTCCGAATCAGAGGCGTCAGAAATCCTGCCAAATGCCGGTGCCGTAGGAAACAAAGGCGGCAGGAACATATTGGGGGAAGGGTCCCTTCAACTTGGTGATCGGATCTGGGCCAGTGGAGACCGTAGTCCTTCCAGCACAAACAACACATGGGGATCTGGAATGCTTCCATGTCCCCTGGGGGGAAGGGGGGAGGGAATCAATGGTACCCGTTCCGCTGAAGAAGCTGGTGACAGGAACTGCATCTGTCTGGAGACAGACTGTTCCCAGGATGCTGGCGGGCCACAAGTGGTGGAGTCACAGGATCTATGATCAGCAAAGGTGGATCAAAAAATTGGTGTGGTTGTTACTTGGTCTTGTGAGACTTGGAACACGTGGCTCCTTCGTGGACAGAATCTGTGGACAGTGCCAAATCCTTCGTAGACTTGGAGGAAGACTTACTGTCATGCTTATGCACATGCTTCCTTGGTTCATGGTTAGGCTCAGGGCGGGGTCCTTAGCACTGATACAAGCGGATCCCGATGGCAGGGGAAGCACTCTTCACCTGTTCAGGACAACGTACGGGGCGGTTCCCCGGCCAAGATCCGATGACAGTTCCATGGCAGTCTCCATAAGGTGTTTCCTGAGGTGGAGAGTCCAATTCTCTTGAGAACAGGCAGGAAAGGAGAGGCAGATACTGCACCTTGAGGTGATATGGGTTTCTCCCAAACTGATGGAAAATGAGTGAGGGCAGGAAGCACAGATTTTGAACTCCAGAGGCTTCAGCATAATCCAGTACCCAGGCCCGGGGAGAGGGGAGCGTTTGCCGAGAAACACCGCCAAAGTGGCTTCCCAAGTCCTAAATCTGGTACAAAAGGAAAAATTCAAACAAAAACAAAAAAGGGAATACAGAACAAAATAATACATCTAAACTACGAACAGTATTAAAGATATTTAGAAAAGTTTTGGAAAGTGCATCACAAAGACGACAGGAGAGTATAAGCTCCAACTCGAACCATGCGCCCTTTATCGCCTCAGGTGAAACCACAAGGCAGCTCAGGGCGTATGTGCGGACCATCAAACAGTACTACTTTCAAAAGTTCTGGCACCGGGCTCATGCACATAACCCTCAGTAGAATACAATAGGGACCATCACTTGAAGAAGAATATACTGTTTCTAACACAATCTGAAAACGAAATTTAGCTAAGTTTTTATTCTGTTATTTTCTAAAAACAAGCAGCTCACCTTTTCCTCCCTGGCTCATGGAGCCTGTGTCTCGTCCACATTGTCCTTTATTATTCACACCAAATGTCCAAACCTCTCCATTCTTCATTAACACACACGTATGAGCTTTGCCCATAGCTACCTGAGTCACAAAATGGCCTTTCAAATCTGTTACTAAACCTGTGAGATATAAAACATTTGGGTGATGAACAGTATTTTCTCTCTCTGGATCAGACATTCACTATATCACAAGTACTGCTGAAAAAACATTTAATTTTTTTATCGGGAGTAGAGGTAAGGTGAGAATGATGGAATATTGGAGTTAGTAAAACACATGCCTGGTCTACACCTAAAGCTTAGGTTGACCTAGTTATATCAAGCAGTGGTATGAAAAATTCAGACTCGAGAAATGTTGTTGAATTGACATAAAGCCCCAGTATAGACGCCCATTAGGTCGCTGGAAGAATTCTTCTGTCGACCTAGCTACCACCTCTCAAGGGGATGGTCTAACTACAGCTATGGGAAAAAAACAACCTTCCATCACTGTAACAAGTGTCTATACTACAGCCCTACAGCTGTAGTGCTGTAGCTGTGCTGCTGTAGCGTCTGTAGTGTAGACAAGGCCACAGATAGTGAAGAAAAAGGAAGGAGGGAAGAACAGTCATAACTAATCTGCCCAATCAATACAATAAATGTACAAGTTTTTTATAAAGTGATTTCATACAGAACCATAATCCAATTGGAACAAAAATTTCTCTAGCATTTCATTTAAGCTGGCATGTTTCAATGCCGAATAAATGCAACCAAACAATATTTTAAAGACATGTCTCTCTTACATCTGTACTTAACTGGCATTATTTGGCTTCAAATAATGTCTCTCAGATATCAACTTACTTGTGCTGTCAGAGTAAATGGCATCTTTTCCAAACATATAGAGTTCTCCATCTTTTGAAATGACAGAACTGCTCCCATTATTGCATGCTGTATATACGACAATCTTTCCTTCCATTTTAATGATCTTTTTAGGCTTATAGGGTTTTGACTGCCGTCTGCTTTTAGCTTTAAAAGAAAAGGCATTTTACAAATAATATGTTTCACCAAAAAGTGACAGCAAGAAGAAAATAAGATTTTCACCAGCTAAACTATGAACATTTGTTTCATAATACAATGTTTCCTTAGACTATCCCTACAAAAATCTGCTTGCTGATTCTCCCACTGAAAGTAATTTTTTGGTTAGTTTTGTAAAATACCATCAACTTTTTCATCATTAATGGAATGGTAGGCAAGCAAAATTTGTGTCTAGGCTGACATAGTTCCATGACGGCTCTGCAAGGCTTCTTTAGTTGGTTCGTTTATACTCAATATATATATATAACAATAAGTGATCCTAAAAAGCAATACTTGCTCACAAAAGTTTTTTGTCTGAAACCGAAAAGATGCATAAGCAAAAGCTGAAGTCATTTGTATCACAGTAAGTCTGCAGACCGAATTTTTATTATTTAAAGATCTTGGTTTAAAAGTTTTTAAATCCTCCAGTAATCTATCCAATCAAGACGTGATCATGTTCCCATTTAAGTCTCATTAAGCTTCATTAGAAGCCACAATATTAACTTCCCTAATAGTTGTGCTAATTCTATCAATATTTTAGCTAAAACTGTAACATGATTAAGTCCCAATGAAAACCAACTGACAATGATATTACTGTTAAGATTTCCTGTAATTATTCAGAAACCGTAGAAATTACAAGTAAATTTTAAACAGTCCATCCCATTTTACATCATAAATATATATCTACTAATTTTAAAAGCTTCCTCTGGACACATTCAGCAAAATCAAGGTTGCAACTGCAGTTTAGTTTTAAACCTCTCAACTGTCTCCTAACTTTGCCACCAAAGTTTTGGGGCCCCTTTTTGTTGCCACCTGAACCACAAGGGAAAATGTTTGGCACTCTTAATCCCATCAAATCCACTGGACCCCCCACTCGGAAACCCTGCAAGGGGGGCAGGTCTCAGAGCCTGGCTCCAACCCATGCTCAACATCTACACTACAATTTTTAGCCATGCAGCCTAAGCCCTGAAAGCCTGAATCAACTGACCCAGGCTCTTAGACTCGGTGCCACAGGTTTTTTTCACTGCAGTATAGAGGTATCACAAACACACAACTTAACAATGCCATTTTTAGAGAGTCACCTCTCAGACTAGAACTAGACTAAGGCCATGTCCACACTGCCCTTCCATGGTTAAAACTTTTGTTGTTCAGGGGTGTGAAAAACCACACCCCTGAATGACAAAAGTTTTAATAACGGAAAGCACCGGTGTGGACAGCGCTTTGTCAATGGGACCCGCTCTCCCATCAAAGCTACCACCCCTCATTGGGGGTGGTTTTATTTGGTCACCTGGAGACCTCTCTCCCAGCGACAAAGAGCAGCTACTCTGCTTCCCTTACAATGGCGCGGCTGCAGCAGCGCAGCTGCACCGTTGTAAAGTGCGCCGCGTAGACAGCCTAAGTTTGCATAGTCAGAACAGATGATCTTAGCAGCTGCTCTTTGAATGGACCTTAGACAGTCAGATGGGTGGCAGAAGGCCGAAAGGTATTCTTCTGTACTCAGTCATCTAGCACACTTCTTGGATCTGAAAATTAAAACGGTTTACACTGTTCCTTTATTAATCGATAGCCTAGCAACCTCTGTTTAGAAATGTAATTTCACTATCACTTTATTATGGAAGTGCAGTAGTGACTTCACAGTTAAGGTGAGCAAAACTTTGCTTTAAAAGGAATACAAATAGACAGATATATTTGAAAATAGCTAAGCCACATCAGAGTACGGGTCAGACTTTGTGGTGCAAATTTGAGGTCATAAGGTCACCGAGTTCCTTCTCCAAATTCCTTGGTTTTAAGTTTTCAAGTAACGAGGAATCAGACAAGTACAGAAACTAGGGTGGGTAGTTGAGAGTTGGCATGTTCGGGGCCTGCCCCAGGCACTTACCACTGAAAATAGAATGGGGAGCTAAAAATGGACATGCTTAGTGCCTATCACACAAAACTGAGACTGGGAAGAAGAGCTGAGAATAAGGAAACTCGGGGGATACCACATGCACATCGGGCAGAGACCAGGAAGAGCTGAGCCTTAGGAAACTGCTCGGGCTCCACTCCAGTCAGATTCAACACCAGCTCCTCAAGGAAAACCTCAGTTACTGAGAGGCTGAGTGAATGACCTGCCCACAGACACAACCTGGTGATTTAAAGAGATTTAAATCCTCTATTTGCTTGACTTCTGTGATGAGTTTTATGTGAATCAGTTCTAGGGACATGAGGGGGAAAGGAGTCCAGGAGAGCTGGCTGTATTTTAAAGAATACTTACTGAGGTTGCAGGAGCAAACCATCCCGATGTGTAGAAAGAATAGTAAATATGGCAGGCGACCAGCTTGGCTTAACAGTGAAATCCTTGCTGATCTTAAACACAAAAAAGAAGCTTACAAGAAGTGGAAGCTTGGACAAATGACCAGGGAGGAGTATAAAAATATTGCTCAGGCATGCCGAAGTGAAATCAGGAAGGCCAAATCACAGTTGGCGTTTCAGCTAGCAAGGGATGTTAAGAGTAACAAGAAGGGTTTCAACAGGTATGTTAGAAACAAGAAGGTGGTCAGGGAAAGTGTGGACCCCTTACTGAATGGGGGAGGCAACCTAGTGACAGAGGATGTGGAAAACGCTAATGTACTCAATGCTTTTTTTGCCTCTGTCTTCACGAACAAGGTCAGCTCCCAGACTACTGCACTGGGCAGCACAGTATGGGGAGGATATTACCAGCCCTCTGTGGAGAAAGAAGTGGTTCGGCACTATTTAGAAAAGCTGGACGAGCACAAGTCCTGGGGCTGGATGCACTGCATCTGAGGGTGCTAAAGGAGTTTGCTGATGTGATTGCAAAGCCATTGACCATTATCTCTGAAAACTCACGGTGATCGGGGAAGGTCCTGGATGACTGGGAAAAGGCTAATGTAATGCCCATCTTTTAAAAAGGGAAGGAGGAGGATCCGGGGAACTACAGGCCAGTCAGCCTCACTTCAGTCCCTGGAAAAATCATGGTGCAGGTCCTTAAGGAATCAATTCTGAAGCACTTAAGAGGAGAGGAAAGTGATCAGGAACAGTCAGCATGGATTCACCAAGGGCAAGTCATGCCTGACTAACCTAATTGCCTTCTATGATGAGATAACTGACTCTGTAGACGAGGGGAAAGCAGTGGACGTGTTATTCCTTGACTTTTTATACGGTCTCCCACAGTATTCTTGCCAGCAAGTTAAAGAAGCATGGGCTGGATGAATGGACTATAAGGTGGAAAGAAAGCTGGCTAGATCATCGGGCTCAACGGGTAGTGATCAATGGCTCCATGTCTAGTTGGCAGCCGGTATCAAGCGGAGTGCCCCAAGGGTCAGTCCTGGGGCCGGTTTTGTTCAATATCTTCATTTATGATCTGGAGGATGGCATGGATTGCACCCTCAGCAAGTTTGCAGATGACACTAAACTGGGAGGAAAGGTAAATACTCTGGAGTGTAGGGATAGGATACAGAGGGACCTAGACAAATTAGAGGATTGGGCCAAAAGAAATCTGATGAGGTTCAACAAGGACAAGTGCAAACTCCTGCACTTAGGACGGAAGAATCCCATGCACTGCTACAGACTAGGGACCGAGTGACTAGGTAGCAGTTCTGCAGAAAAGGACCTAGGCGTTACAGTGGACGAGAAGCAGGTTATGAGTCAACAGTGTGCCCTTGTTGCCAAGAAGGCTAACACCATTTTGGGCTGTATAAGCAGGAGCATTGCGCCAGCAGATCGAGGGACGTGATCATTCCCCTCTATTCAGCATTGGTGAGGCCTCATCTGGAGTACTGTGTCCAGTTTTGGGCCCCACACTACAAGAAGGATGTGGAAAAATTGGAAAGAGTCCAGCAGAGGGCAACAAAAATGATTAGGGGGCTGGAGCACGACTTATGAGTTGCAGCTGAGGGAACTGGGATTATGTAGTCTGCAGAAGAGAAGAATGAGGGCGGATTTGATAGCTGCTTTCAACTACCTGAAAGGGGGTTCCCAAAGAGGATGGATCTAGACTGTTCTCAGTGGTAGCAGATGAGAGAACAAGGAGTAATGGTCTCAAGTTGCAGTGGGGGAGGTTTACGTTGGATATTAGGAAAAACTTTTTTACTAGGAGGGTGGTGAAGCACTGGAATGGGTTACCTAGGGAGGTGGTGGAATCTCCTTCCTTAGAGGTTTTTAAGGTCAGGCTTGACAAATTCCTGGGTGGGATGATTTAGTTGGGGATTGGTCCTGCTTTGAGCCGGGGGTTGGACTAGATGACCTCCTGAGATCCTTTCCAACCCTGATATTCTATGATTATTAGATCTCAAAGAACTTTACAACATTATCCCCATTTTACATATGGGAAACTAAGGCACAGAGAGGTAAAGTGACTTGCCCAAGGTCATGAAGCAGACCAGTGGCAGAGGTGGGAATAGTCTCAGTTCAACTGTCTTCCACTAGGCCACATGATTACTATGTGATTCTTCAGTGCTCCTCTCTACTCCTGTACATTCTGTTATAGCGGAATGGTGAAAATGGTTGTGTTTTTTAAACATTTGCAATATATAGTTGCTAAGAAGGATGATGAGAGAAATCTTATCCATTGTCTATGCCCCAAAACTTGACAATTTTAATACATGATAGTTTCCCTCCCACTGAGCATTTGAATGTACTTTATCTTTTCAAAAATATTTTCAGTACCTTCTGGATATTCTGCTGTACTCGTATTACATTTCTTAAAACACACACACACACACACACACACACACACACCCTGTGACAGAGGCAGATTTTTCCCAAGTGTTTACAGTTTATTCTCAGATTTCTGCACAAGATGCGTTTCAAAACTTCAAAGTTGCTAGGATTGGAACTTAAATGATTTTTTTCTGGGGGATGTATCAAATGACCCCAAATTTAGATCACTAACCCTAGCTTGAACTCCCATGAGGCATAGGAAATGTGAAGACAATTTGTACGCATGCAAATTTTAGATTTTGAAGATTTATTGTTTAAACAGGAAGGGCTTCACAATGTTACCTAGAACAGAGCTGGTACTCCATTATATTACTATATGATTCCTGGAGCTCTACACATGGATCAGCAGCATAAAAGGCTCAGGGAAGTGTTAAGTGACCCATTCATGTCAATGAGAAGTTCTCTGCTGAAAGAATTTCCCATGGAGAGGAGTACAGCCTGAAACCATAGTTCTGAGACATGTGAACTATTCCAGTCATGTCAGTGAGTATTCCCTTCCCCGCTCACGAGTGCTGAAGAGTTTTGATAAGATATCAAGCTTACCTGTTTTTTCAGCTCCTCATCTCAGTCTCAGTGTATTCTTGGTGCATGTTCCAAGCATGTCTGTTTAAACTCTTCACCCAGAGGGACAGGGCTTCTGCCCTTCACAATGCATTAACTTTAAGAAAACCTGTTTTTTCCCCAGGGGGCTGTATCTTGTGAATCACTTAGTCAAATGGCCCCAACTTTGGACCACTGACCATACCCTAAAGCCCCATGAGGCACAGCAAATTTCAAGACAACATGATTAATTATGCAAATTCTAGAGCACTTAGAACAGCCAATCTTTAAAACAGAAAAGCAGGTCTTAAGGTTAACTATAGCAGAACTGTTACTCTGCTGTAACATAGAGGTAAGGTATCCTACTACACCCCTTACAACAATAAGAAAATATAAATGCTGTAAAACCAAGAAATGCAGAGTTAAGATAATTCTTCCCACCCAAAATGGTCAAACAACCTTAACTACTCAAGTGGGAATATCAATCAAAAGCAAGAATCTAAAAGCATCCTAATCCCTCCCCTAATCAAACCTACCATCTTTTCTGTTCCAATACAATTCCAAATCAACATTCCAACTCCTAGTCCAGAGGACCTTCACTGCACTCTGTCCAGCATCAATGATCCCAGGATGACTTGCTGATGGTTTGCAGAAGTTAATGGAGGGTTAAGCTTCTGGGATCTCTCAGAGAGTATATCTACACTTGGAGCTGCAGGTGTGATTCTCAGTTCAAGTAGACATACTCACACTAGCCCTCATTGAGATAGCACGCAAAAAATAGTGTAGCCTGGGTAGCACAGGAAGTGTTAAGAGGCAGCGCAGCCACAAACCCACATGAGCACAGTGGGTATGCATTCAGCACAGCTAGCCCATGCCACCACTCACTGTTGCCCATGCTACTCTAGCTACACTACAGTTTTTAGTGTGCTAGCTCAATGAGAACTAGCACAAGCATGTCTACGTGAGCTGTGAATCACACCCAAAGTTCCAAGTATAGATATACCCTGAGGGTCTCTTAAGGGCTGGGATCAAAGAGGCCAGTGTTAAGGTTGTGTAGGAAGTGTCTCTTAATTCTGCATTTCCTTGTTTTCCAACATTTGTGCATGAGGTAACAATATTCTTGCTTGTTAACAATGAGTCCGGTGGCACCTTTAAATTTAAATTAATGGAGATATCCTATCTCCTAGAACTGGAAGGGACCTTGAAAGGTCATCGAGTCCAGCCCCCTGCCTTCACTAGCAGGACCAAGTACTGATTTTGCCCCAGATCCCTAAGTGGCCCCCTCAAGGATTGAACTCACAACCCTGGGTTTAGCAGGCCAATGCTCAAACCACTGAGCTATCCCTCCCCCTGACCTTAATGACTAACATGCTTGTGAACATCGTTTTTTATGTTCGCTGCTGGGTTCAAACACAAACTTGTGTTTACTTGCAGATAATGTGCACAAGCATGTTGATGATATGCTCATGCATTGCTCTAGTAGCCTACTCATTTTTCCTTTCACAACTTAAGGACTGGTTAATATTGATTTTACTGGTATAATTTACAAGTACCAATTCTATATTAAGCCATTGATAACACAATAGTAAAACCTACTTGATTCACCATCTTCTCCTTTACTAGCAGAGCCTGTAAAGAATATACTTCCATCCTCTGCAACAAGTAAGGCATGCGAACCATCATGTCCGACTGAGAACTGGATAATCTTTGGAGATTTTGTGATTGGCAGCTCAACCCATTTTCCTGCTGAAGGACCACCTTGTTTGATTCCCAGGCTCTGATATTTGCCAGTGTAATAAATCTGAAAGAAAAAAAGTTATATTGTTCTCCTATCATGTCATAATACTTAAAATGAAACAATAATTGTATCTAATAAAAGCAAGGTTCAAAATAAAGGGGTTTAAGGATTTTTCCCATTTGATGATTTAATGATAAATAAGTTAAAAATTAGTCTTAATAATGACCTTAGAAAAGTTTACTATAAATGACAACTAAAACAGGCCTTATTTCGAGACACGACCTCAGCAAGATGAAATAGAACGTAACAGAAACATGAATTTTTTCCCGCAAGATACTCTATGCCATAGCTCTCTTCGTTTGCTCAAAAAAATTTTGATA